GTAATGCAACTATTAGCTGAATGTACTATCAATAAAATCCTGAGTTGCAAGTACTCACCTTAATATTTAAAAAAAAATAAAAAAATAAATTACTATATACAAGACCTGGATCTTTTATAATAGACCTAGGTTTAGTATGTAGCCAAGAGTTCATATCATTAAGAGAAAAAATTTAAAAGGTATGTATATTTTTCACTTGTAATCAGTTTAAATATAAAAAACCCAGGTTTGATTAATATAGATTTTATGATTTGCACCCAGATATACTACATAGTAGGTCTACTATTATGAGGGGTTGTATATAGTGATTTACAATAGTTATTAATATATTTGCTATTCTGAAAATAATAGGATGTTTATTGTTTTTACCTTTCTAGCTTTGATTTATTATTAGAACTATAAAAGAAAGTTAGAAATATATATATAAAATAAAACAAAGTACATAAATAAGAAATAAATATACTTTTGTGATTTTAGCTTTTCAATAAAGAAAAGAACAGCTACAATATCCTAACAATCATGTCCACAAATTACATTGAAACTACATGGACATGCGAATTTTTTATTTTTATATGTAATATATAATATTTTTTCTTGCTGCTTTATATTACATTTATCAAATAAGTCAGATGTCTTAGATTTAGAATTTTCTTTATTAGAACCATCATTATCCAATTTAGTAGCAACATATTGGATATCAGTATCTGTATTGAAACAGGACACAATCCAAGTATCTTGGTCAACCTCTAGAATTAAAGAGTTAATAATTGTAAACATTAGAATACTAATAAGAGATATAATAACTTTTTTTGGTGTTGCTCATTTCACTGACAGTCATTTCACTGAAAGTTTATTAGCTGACATCACATAGAGTTAGGTTTAATATTTGATTAATTGTTGGTGCAAGTTTTTATTAATTTGTTACTTTATGCGATATTAGCTAAATAAGTTGTTGGTGAAATGATTGTCGAAGCAAGGCAGATTTAGCTTTTTCTATGTCAAATTAACATTCTTAATATAATAATAAGAAAATTTTAAAATAAAACATTTATATCAAACCTATTATATTTTTAAATTTTAGCCAGATTGATATATAATGATTTAAATAAAATGTTATTCATATTTACCTTGAACAAGATTTTTTCTATATAATTGTTCCCTTTTTATATATACTTTGTTTTTTTCTCGTTGTAATTTTAATTTTGTAGGTTGTTTGCCTTCTTCATTCCAAAACCTTATTAATAAAAAAAACTTTATTTTTAAAATATAAATTAAAACAAACAAATAAATTAGTATACGTTTACCTTTTAATCTCTCTTGCATCTATGTGTATTGATATATCTATTTTTTCAAGGTTTGCATGTAAAGACTTGGTATATCTTCTCCAGTAATGTATTATCATATCTTTTTTAAAATAGCTCTTTAATAACATATTTGTTTTTATAGAACAGCCATCATGTTTATAATCTGGCCAAGTATCTGTAACAATATTAATATAAATTTTTTATTTTTTTTTTTTCTTAAGCAATCACAGTAGTACTTTATTAAACCATTTATAGCTACATTTGTAAATAAAGAATATTATTTAATTTATAAGTCTATCATCATTCGGCTACCCAAATAGTACCTAAATGTGACCTGCCGCACTAATCCAGTTAGGACTAAAAATTATAACTTGTCTGACCCCGCCCTACAATAGGATACCACTAATCTGGAAACATCTTCTCATAGGGAAGAGAAAAACAAAAAAAAGAAAATAATTTTAAAGTTAGGAAAAGAAGAAACGAAAATAGGGAGTAAAATAAAACTAACAAAAAGAAAATAAAACTAATCTATAAGGAGAATAAAGGAGGG